ATGGTGTTGGAATAGAGTCATGATATTCACTCATTCAAGTTCGTTGAATTCGTTCCATCGAAAAGTCGATATCATTGTGGTTGTGATCAAAAAGAAACAAGAATGTTCAGCTCACTGCAGCAGATAAATCAGATAATAGGTCTTCAATGGATTAACGAAATTGAACAGATCAACTCACTCTCACAACAAGTGAAATGTGGAAGTAATGCGTTAAATGATTCATTGAAGATCCATTATTTATATTATAATTCACCAAAACGGCAAGCAAGTCAGCAGCTGGAATGATAGAATTAGATCATTGTGCAGAAAAATTCATTCTGATTCTTCACTTCACTACCTTAACGGAGGCCTTCTGAGCAGGAGTTTAAAGAAAATGATAATTATCTTATCAAATGCACAAGTTTAACGCATTATTCTCGAATGGAATCGTTGGGTTTTTGAAGTGAAAAACTTTTGAAAATCTACCGAACATTGGCAAACTGGTGACACTTATTGGTACGGTATAAAATATGGTTGATATGAGCATAACTGCATGTTTGCTCTTCTCTTGACTGTGACTTAGCTTCGTGTAATATTTGATCACAGTGAACACGGCCTGAACGTAACTTCAATCACCTTTCTGAGTTCATTCTCTAGTCTTTATATACGACGATTTTCTAATGTGACGATTTTCAATCTCATAAACTTTTATGAATCCACTAACTTTATATAGGCTCATTGATTTCTAAACTACTCAATCATTCCATACCTCATATGATTTAATAATAATCAGAGTGATGCATCTTAGAAGTATTGAAAAAAAACATATATCAACCACTAATCACCCCCAGACCCGGCGGCCCCTGTTGCCTCCTATCCCAATGACCCTCATAAACCGCGTAAAAGTAAAATAATAATAAAACAACCGTATGCCTGAAACTCTTGTAGCCCAGATTCAGGAAACTGATGGACTGCATCAAAACCGCTGAAGATTCCACTAAATCAAGTGTGGCTCCGTTTTGTTTCTAAGCAGTGCCACTTGATTGAAGCAATGATGTGAGCTAACCATTATGGATACAATAGTCACCGCTACATGCGCGACAAAGAAGATATATATCTTTAATAGCGCTGCGAAAACTCGCCGATTCGGCAGCGTAAATTCAGTGGCGTCGAATAATGAGTATGTAATGATGAATATGTCAGTGCAAATGAAGTAAACCTTCCAATGTCTGAAAAGAACCACCACATCCTTTCGATAACCACGATCAAAATTTCTGAAGAATCCATTAGAGAATTGACAACTACAGTGCTAAGGAAACAATTCTATGACACATCCAGTGAAGTCCAAAAAGCTTTCTCAGCAGGAAAATCGTTGATAAATAAACTGACTTGAAATCGAAGAATCGATTGTACATAAGTGGCCGGTTGAATAGACAGAACAAAGATCCCAAGAATGTCAGTGAAAACAGCTGAAGAGATGTTTGACAAATTGTGCTGGTACCCATCAGCAAATAATCCATACAATGCCTGAAATCATGGACAAGTCAATTGAGGCACTGAACCGCTTGTTCTTGACTGGCAATTTAGTGGTATTTGAAATCGAAAAAGTCATGGTTTTTGAATTGGCTGGATAGTGAAGAATGATTTTCATTGGAACTTTTTGACTTGAGTCAGCGCAGAAAAGAAAGGAGCGCAATGGTGCGATGAATAATTAGGTGAATAGAGTCATTGATGCTACACGCTTTGAGAATTCAAAAACGTCTAGAAGTATCGGCGAGGAATGCAACATATTTATAGATATTCATAAAACTAGAATCATCAACAGATGGTAACTTGTCCAAAAATGTGCACTTCAAAATAAATAATGAATGATGTTTCTAGAGTTGCGCTGTGGTGATCAATAACATTCACAAAAGCCTGAAAACGGAGAGGAATGATCCGCGATATTGTCATAGTATCCGAGACACAGCTCCGTTTTTCAGTTTCCATCGCAACTCAGTCTGATTTCACAAAGGTCTTTACGACTACCTCCGGTGATCAGAAAGCAGAATTCCTCGCATATCGTTCGCCAGCTTTTGAATTATTGAACTGTGAACTTTTCGCTCCAATAATCAGAAATCAACGAGAGAGCCCCGGAAAGCTGGCGGAGGCACCTCGAAACCGAGAATCATCGAGCTGATCAGACATCCCACGAAATCGACATCCTATTCGAATTCCACAAGAATTTTCCGTGAGCACAACTACTTAAATTAAGCCCACACTGATGAGGTAATATCTAATACATGGATCAACAATGATGCCAGCAGCCTCTGCGATCAAATGAGAACGAACTGTAATGAATAAAAATTAGATGTACTTTGTAAACGAACACGGAAGCATACCCTAAAAAGACGTTCGTGCATCCGAAAAGTCTAGCATAATCATTTGCTGCCTTTATAACATGTACGATTTCCATAAGGAGCATAGGAGCAACAACATGTATCGAGTAGAGATTCGTGATATCCTTTAGTGGTAGTCGAGTTAATCCAATGTACAGCACAAATATCGATGACAAAATTGCAACCGCGAAGAGTGCAACATTGAAAACGGAGAGGAAATTTGGGAACGCTGCAGCTGAAACCNCAAGAAAGATTTCACTTCACTCACTAAACATTGCCTGACTTGTGATCATGCTTGTTCACTGTTAACTTGGGTTGAAGGGCATTTTGAATAAACGAATCGCGAACTTAAATGTTTATATTGGAGACATCAGGTGAATTTTTCAACAGTCGTCTCTTCACCAATCACTAAGCGGAGAATTTAACGGGAAACCTTGCCTCTAAGACGTGAGGAGTGATGAATTCCTTGAAAAGTTCTTTTTTACTGCTAAAGTGCAATAAATGATTGGAAAAAATCAAACAGAAAGAATGGAGATGAGAAATCTAACGGCAATAAACGCCATTTTTTGCCAGCGAGCAAACCGGTGGTGCGGATATATTTGCAGATGTTCGTAAGTACATATCTTGCAGCTGAGATTCAAGTTGGTCGCTTAAGCTCATATTAATCAATGCTGAAATGATTCATTCGTTGAAGAACAAAAATGAGAATTTAGTATTGTTTATTACTGCTTCGACTTGTTACTGCAGGTGACTCATTATTGAATTATCAAGAGTGTTAGCAGTGTTCCTTATTGCATTAGCAAAAGAAATGCCAAAGCACATCAGCACAGAATCGACAATATCCCCGTTAAACTTCAGGAGGAAGCAAAAGTATCTTCAAACTATGGTTATTGTGCGGTATAACAGCGATATTGATTCAGAGCATATGAGAAATAATGATTGCTATACTTATTTTCCCTATCAAAGGGGGGGGGGTTGACGAAAAATAAGTGTACTGAATCTCCAAAGACCTGGAATCCCCCCAGAGTTTCTCGTTATCGATCCAGACGGAAGTAAGAGGTGACACAATCTCAAAGAAATAAAGAAC